AGGCAATCTTAACAGAGGGTTAAATGTGTTGGAGCAGGGAACGTGGAAAATTACAACAAGGTCATATAAACAACATGTGCATCCTACAGGCTGAAATGCCAAATAAAAAGACCCCCTCGCTACATTTATTATTTAAAAAAAAGTCATTATGTTTAAGCCAAGTGTGATTTTTCAGGATCTATCTCATGATTTTTGAATGCTTTGGGTTGGAAATACTGATACCTGCAAGCCAAACCCATACAAAGCACACGTAGGCCCTTTTATTACTCATACCCCATTAGGCCTAACAAGATCCCTTATACAAGTGGATGGAGCTGCTCTCTCAATTCTTCTGGGTTACATGTGCCTATTCTGCCAGAGTGCCCCTTGCTGCAACTGCACAGACAGAGTAATCACTTTCTTTTGTGCTGCCATCCTGTAGCTTATGGGAACAGGACTAGGAGCGCCAAGCCAAAAAAAAACCCTCTTGGGGCACTAAAGCAGCTGGCAGCACTAGCCAGCCCTCTGCAGCGCAGATTTGAATAGGGCTCTGTAAGCACTAGAGAAGGGCTCCCTACCTCCTCTCCCCACTGTAACATAGACACACAAAAGTAATCATAATTTAGCCCCTTGCGTATTTCTAATCACTCTGAGAGTGAGAGACTATTTTTCTTTGTGGCTCTGTCACGAGCTTGCTGTGATTCAGAGATGATAGGTCTTTTTTTCGATTTTGGAAGTGATCTACAAAGAAATTACCACTGGCTTTCCCAACCACTCACACCCCCCCCCCCGCCACCCCCTGCTTCTCCTGAAATGAGCTGCACCGGCATAAGCAAAATTGCCAAGTGACAATGATCTGAAGTAGCCCAGCTCTATATATGAAACTGAGTAATAAATGGAAATTGAAGCCTGTGCTTTTATCAGCCTGCAGGCAGCTGGATCCCTTGTTTCATATAACAGAGGAACCCGTCCCTACTTCTACTCTTTTGCAATAGATGCGGCCTCCAAGAATAGATGCTGCAAGTTCCAGTGACAGGTTTTAGTGCTGTCTCTGGAGAAAGAGCAGGCAATCAACAGTCCATCAAGTTAAGAATCTAAGAGGATAAAGACAGCCCAGTAGTCACAGGACTAGCATATTGACTAGCTGTCTCTTCACCATTCATTTAGGTTCCGCTGCTGTTAAAGTGTTTTTTTGGCTTTTCTGTCTTTTAATATACCTCACTACACTGATACATGATGCTTCCTTAAGTATTTTGCCCATTTTAGGTTTAAATCTATCCCATCAATGAAGCAAGCCTTAATTAGTTTCAGCAAATACAAGATCACATAGTACCGTGGGGAAGGCTATGGTACAATAGAGAAGTTATTAAATAATAATACTGTTGCATTATTATAGCACAGTACACATTCGAAGTGCTTTACTATTAACTCATTAATCTCCACAACCCCCATGTGAGGTAGGTAGGTAGCTCTCATCATGGCCATTTACGAATGGTGAAATGGATTTAGTTACAGGTTTAAAAGAAATCCAATAAGAGGGATATTTATGGGTGGCTTGATTTGAGCATTCACTTTTAGAATACCCAGGCATTAGCTTCCTGTGGATAGTGTGATAATGAAGCTGGAGTGTATTTTGCAACTATCACTGCTTCTGGCTTGTTCAGAGTTGTCAGGCAAAATGCCTGCTATGACTAGTTGCTTTGACATGCAAGGCAGTGACTTGGCTCAGTGTATGTCTGCAAAGTGCCTGTCACACTCTTGGGTGCTTAATAAACAGATAAAATAATAATAATAATAATTGCTCAGTTGAGCATAGGCGCGACTGGACACCAGATTGCTTTTGCTCAGTTATGTTGCCTAGGAAACATCAACCTGTGATAGCCACATATTTAGTAAAGCCATTTTAGTTTGTGTCTCTGAGAAAACATTCAGAAAATGCTTCAGTGTAAAACACTTGGGGACAAAATCCGCAGTCACCTACCCACAAAACCTCTTGACACAATCAAGTTCCTTTCAACGATTAAGTCACTTTAGAGTCACAAGAGTGCTGGCCTGGATCTAGGTTGCTGCTGCACCCCCTGTTTGAAGTGGTTTGCATCATAAATAGGGTTTACAATTTTGTTCAATGGTTTCAGCATCCCCCACTGTAAAAACCGTTCCTGGAGATGTCATTTCACTTTCCTTGGCTTTGCCTAAATACCTTTGAGGATCTGGACCTTACTATCTCTGTTCCTCGGGTGTTCATTTGTAAAATGGAGATAATATGTCCCTATCTCGCAGGGGTGCTGTGAGGATAAAATCACTGAAGAGTGTGCAACACTCAGCTACTGAGGTGGGGGGGGGGGAAGGAGGGGCAGAGACAGAGGAGCTATTGCAAAGCTTCAGGGGAAACAGAACAGCAACTGGAAAAAAACATCATTCTAAGGTAACAAAAGCTGTAATTAAAAAAACAAAACCCGCCCACACAGAAAAGCAGTTTGGAAGGCTACTGAAGGCACCCAACTCATGTCTACAAGGAAGAGATAAACTACCTTTTGTACTTTAATGAGAACTTGATAAACGCTACCCGGCCAAAAAACCCCAACAAAAAACAAAAAAACCAAAACCCCCAAACTGTTTTCATTATTAAAAACAAAAAAACTTTAAAAAAAAGTCTTCCGTAAAAACAAAACTCCTGGGAAAGATTTAATTAGTGACTGCAGTATTTCAAAGGGGGAAAAAAAGATGGCAAAGCCTGATGCGTGTGCGCTTGCGCATGCGTGTGATACCGGGCACCCATATTGATTTACTGGAAGGAAAGTGACAAAAACTCAAATAATTTTGAAATAAATCTCTCTATCTTTCCCTCCAGAATCCCATCATTACAGTATCTGAGCACCTCCAAAGAGCTAACGGAAACTGTGATATCATGCTCTTTCTTTGCTGAGGGTGAGAGATAGCCTTGGGTTCTCTCTTAGTGGTGGTGATGGCTGTTTGAATGAAAATAAAAGCTTGAGGTTCTATTTAGGGATGTTCAGGCAGAGAGGTAAATTTCACATTTGGCTATCAGTGCAGTGAGGCTAGTGGTCATGGCAGTGAAGTTCCATAGTCATGGTCCAGCTCCTGTGAAAGTTCTGTCTCTTGCAGACATGAGTCTTCCCTATTGCTTGGCCGTTTCATTTGGAATGCAGTCATTGTCAGTGGCATAGAAGGAGACAGTGTCTGAAGTAGCTAGGGACAATCGGATGGAGAAATTTGAATATCAGGACAGAGCTCTTGAACTACAGTCAGTATTCAATGTGAAGCCATTGCAGGGAGCAGCAGATGGAGGTAATATGTTCCCAGTCAGCTGAGTGGGGCTACCATGTTCTGAGCCAATGAAGCTTCATTGGAGCATTGGTGTCTTTTCTAAATATAGGGCCTGTAACAGTCAAGGCATATTATCCATGCTGAATTACAAGTGCAATATTAGAATTAGATGTTACAAAAGCATAAATTCACTGCAGCCAGATCTGAGTCTGATAGGATCAGGTACAATCTTCTGGCCTGCCACAGATGGACACAGGCTTGCTTTCTGCCCCCTTCTCCACTGTGGCTATTTGAGTATCCCTGTGCAGTGGGGAGTCCAAGAGGACCCCAAAACTATGGGTTGATTTAACAATCTGTGAGGGTAGATGCCTGTGATGGACAGGGTTGTTAAAGGAGAGAAGAGTTTTTCAAAATGCCTCCTTTTTCCCACTAGCACCCGTCATGTCTGAGTTCAGCATAGTACACAAGGGTCCAGCCAAGAATCATAGAATCATAGAATCATAGAATC